AAGTGCAAAGAAGCCAGAATGGATGTCCAAAGAACTTCTAACTGTGCTAAGACACAAAAGAGACATGCACAAGAAGTGGAAAAAGGGAGAAATCACCAAAGAAGAATTCAAACAAATAGCCAACACCTGTAGGGAAAAGGTCCGCAAGGCTAAAGCAAAAAATGAGCTCAGACTTGCCAGGGACATTAAAAACAATAAAAAGGGCTTCTATTCTTATGTCAGTAGAAAAAGGAAAAACAAGGAGGCGATAGGACCTCTTCGCGGAGAAGATGGGGCAATGCTGACAGGGGATAGGGAAAAGGCAGAACTACTTAATGCCTTCTTTGCCTTGGTCTTCTCACAAAAAGAGAGTCTTCAACCTCAGCAAGATGGAGTGGATGAGGGATTGGAGGACATCCAACCCCAAATTGGGAAAGAAGTCGTCCAGGAATACCTGGCCGCTCTTAATGAGTTCAAGTCCCCAGGGCCAGATCAACTACACCCAAGAGTATTGAAGGAACTAGCGGAAGTCATTTCGGAACCATTGGCAACCATCTTTGAGAGTTCTTGGAGAACGGGAGAAGTTCCAGCAGATTGGAGGAGGGCCAATGTGGTCCCAATCTTCAAGAAGGGAAAAAAGGATGACCCAAACAACTACCGTCCGGTCAGCCTCACGTCGATACCGGGCAAGATTCTGGAAAAGATTGTTAAGGAAGCGGTCTGCAAACACTTAGAAACAAATGCAGTCATCGCTAATAGTCAACATGGATTTATCAAAAACAAGTCATGCCAGACTAATCTGATCTCTTTCTTCGATAGAGCTACAAGCTGGGTAGATGCGGGGAATGCCGTGGATGTAGCGTACCTGGATTTCAGTAAGGCCTTCGACAAGGTCCCCCATGACCTTCTGGCAAGGAAACTAGTCCAATGTGGGCTAGGCAAAACTATGGTGAGGTGGATCTGTAATTGGTTAAGTGGACGAACACAGAGAGTGCTCACTAATGCTTCCTCTTCATCTTGGAAAGAAGTGACAAGTGGAGTGCCGCAGGGTTCCGTCCTGGGCCCGGTCCTGTTCAACATCTTTATTAATGACTTAGATGAAGGGCTAGAAGGCATGATCATCAATTTTGCAGACGACACCAAATTGGGAGGGATAGCCAATAGTCCAGAGGACAGGAGCAGAATTCAAAACGATCTTGACAGATTAGAGAGATGGGCCAAAACTAACAAAATGAAGTTCAACAGTGACAAATGTAAGATACTCCACTTTGGCAGAAAAAATGAAATGCAAAGATACAGAATGGGTGACACCTGGCTCGAGAGCAGTATGTGTGAAAAAGATCTTGGAGTCCTCGTGGACAACAAGTTAAACATGAGCCAACAATGTGATGTGGCGGCAAAAAAAGCCAATGGGATTTTGGCCTGCATCAATAGGAGCATAGTGTCTAGATCTAAGGAAGTAATGCTACCCCTCTATTCTGCTTTGGTTAGACCACATCTGGAATATTGTGTCCAATTCTGGGCACCACAATTCAAGAGAGATATTGACAAGCTGGAATGTGAACAGTGGAGGGCGACTAAAATGATCAAGGGTCTGGAGAACAAGCCCTATGAGGAGCGGCTTAGGGAACTGGGCATGTTTAGCCTGAAGAAGAGAAGTCTGAGAGGGGATATGATAGCCATGTATAAATATGTGAGAGGAAGCCACAGGGAGGAGGGAGCAAGCTTGTTTTCTGCTTCCCTGGAGACTAGGACGGAACAATGGCTTCAAACTACAAGAGAGGAGATTCCATCTGAACATTAGGAAGAACTTCCTGACTGTGAGAGCCGTTCAGCAGTGGAACTCTCTGCCCCGGAGTGTGGAGGAGGCTCCTTCTTTGGAAGCTTTTAAACAGAGGCTGGATGGCCATCTGTCAGGGGTGATTTGAATGCAATATTCCTGCTTCTTGGCAGGGGGTTGGACTGGATGGCCCATGAGGTCTCTTCCAACTCTTTGATTCTATGATTCTATGATTCTATGAAATTCAAGTGCCGGATGTGCACTGGAGACATTTCCAAAATGCCCTCCTACCTACATTCAGGTAAGTCTAACACCAAGCCCTGTTTTGCAGAACTGAGGAGGTGGCACAGCAACTCAACCACTGTTTCCTGATCTGACAGTGATAAAGGGGTTTAGAGGTTTCTTCCCTTTCCTTCACACATGCACATTGTAACAGGGTTTGTTTGTTTGTTTAAAAAAAAATTGTTAAATAAACATGTAGGTTAATCCTGAAACAAGTTCCAGTGATGATTGGGCCATGTACTCAGACCAAGAAGTCCACAGTCTGTGAGAAGCACTTCCAGTTCTGCGAGACCTGTAAACCAATATGTTGCAGTTGGTTTTGAATGTGGGAAATCTAACTCCTTAATTTTCAAGTAAATGCACTGTACCACCATGAGCTCAGTGGATTGTATATAATTACAAAGATATTTTATCAAATGCACTCAAATATGCACTTTAACCATACGAACATTTTTCATAGACCACCAGTTCAGTTTTCCTGGTAATTTCAGAAAATATCTGAGAACCAGCTAAAAAACATTGCCCTCACTTGTAAATTTTCTTATCCCTTTCACAGCTACTCAGACCAAATCTATTGTTATGTGTTTAAGTAAGCATCTTTAATCTAGCCACTTTTTTAAAAAAGTATCTGAATTGGGAACACCTGCTGGTGGTGTGCTATATCCTGATTTTACAAACAGCACTTTTAGGAGCAAGATAACAAGTTCATTGCTAATTATTGGCTATGCTGGCTTGGGAACTATAGTACATCAACACCCCCTCCCCCCAAAAGTAGGGGATGGCTTTCATTTTTTAAAAGCATAGGTGGGACTTACCATGATTTGGAACTATTTCCCAGCCATGCCAACCTCATATCTAAAATAAATCATCAAAAGACTGTACTACATTGGAAGGAAGTCCTTTATCATCCAATATTATATTCCTGTTGTGAGCAAACAGATGCCTATGGAAAGTCACAAGCAATTGGTACTGAGAAGCATGCTGTCTCCATTCTTGGGTTTAACATAAGGCTGTTTTCACTGACTGCTCCCAGACTTTGAAACCTATCCCCCTTCTTGCTGTCCTTCCAACACTAGGCAAAGCTTTTTCATTCTAGGATGCTTCTGGATAATAACCAACTGTTTTTAACAAAAGGGCTTTTAGTAGACTTGTGCTCATTAGTGTTTCATAGACTCATTAGTGTTAAATGGATGTTAATAATACATTTATGTGTGTTTTTGTCTGTTCTTGCTTTAAACTGCATCTGTTTTAATTTTGTAATCTTGGTTCTAGGCATTAATGCTTGGAGATAAATACAATGTAATAAAATAATTCTAGATTAGTAGCTAATGATAGTCATATCTTCCTTGTTTAAACCTACCTCGTTAATGCAAAATTTCATCAGATGCTTGGGCTAGCCATCTTTGTTCCTCTCTTTAATACTCATCTCCCACCCGGTATTTTACAGCCAGCTTTCATTATTTTGGTCCTAATGAAAAAGAAAAGTAATGTCAGGAAAACTGCCAAGATCCAATTCTTAACAGGGTACCACTGTTTGTTCTTTGAAATACTGCACAAAAATGGCCAAATTGTGTTCCCTTTTCAACTACAGCCAGCTCCCTCTGTGTGAACTCATAAAATTAGGTTGATACCTTTTACATAAGCAAATCGACTAAAATTCAGAGTATGACATTTGGGACGGGGAAACACCTGTTTTAATTCTGCCTCTCATGCAGATGTTAGCCACAAGAACACTACTAGAGAGAGCATGCAAGTAAATGAAGCTGAATGGCTGAGATAAAGCATATGCTATTTTGTTACCACTAGAATCTTCCTTAGTAGTTCCAAATGTTGTGCCACCATGTTTTTGAACTAGATATGACTTCCTAGTATTCTGTAGCTGAGTTGAGAATGGTCTTGAAGAAATTCGTGTAATAAAAGGAAAATAGAAAGAATTAGAGAAGTCAGTATGAATGATTGCTCGCAATCAGATTTTCTAGAACCATTGAAGAAAGCATTGATACCTTTTGTAACAACATCATTGTTTCAAAAATCTTCCACTTCTCTCTTTTATCTTAAAAATAAGTATAGAAACAATTTGAAAAAAATGTAGTCAGAACTCAGAATACAAGTTTCAGCTATTAAGCCCAATTTAACAAGGCAGCACAAGCCTTCTCACCTGGTCTCCACATTAACTGATTAATTAACAATTTATAATAGGTCATGGTCTGGTATTCAGGTACTGTTATTGTTGCAGCATTATTATTATTATTATTATTATTATTATTATTATTATTATGCATAGAATCCTTCTAATAAAAATATTATAATAGAAGAGTATTTACTTCTCCATTCTCTCCAAATCTGAAAATGTTTGATGAGCAGCTTAAAATAGAACTTTGATACATTGTACAGTTTAAAATCTTCATTTACATCACAGTTGTCTGCAGCAATAAAATATACACATACAACTGGTAAAAAAAAGGTTAAAATTTGCTACTTTATTACATTGCTTACTGCAGACACACTTCTGCAACCCAACTCTGAAACTCTGGCATTCTCTGGCCCCTTTTTCATCATCTCCCCATTGTCACTGCTTCAAAAACACTTCCAGCGAGATAGAGGACAAGAAATGGCAGTGCTATGCACCCTAAAATACTTTGTGGAAAGGATCATCTTTGTCATAGGGCTTTTGTTAACTGAGATGCACCTATATATGTATGTAATGGTATAATTTTGTGCCATATCCCCCTTATTTTAACCAATTGTTCTTCAACAGCCGTAAGAATAATTTAGCACAAGGGTGGGCAGTTGTTGCATTCTTTGGGGCTTAGTTCTTTGCTGCTAGATGATCTTCAGATGTTCTTGTCTGTCAGATTGAGCCCCTCCGAAGAGGTCTCAATGACGCCAGCGTGCAGCAGAGGCTTCCATGTTTCATGATTGGTGGTCTGTTTCAATGTGGTCTTATTTTGTGTTTTAGGGTAGCTGCTGAAGCTTCATTTTCCTTAATCCAGCTGGACTTGTGATGATGCCTTTTGGAGGAATGGCTGCCAGACTAGAAAGGGACCGTCTGCGAGCAGAGGGTGTGGGCAATCACCAAAATGCTGTTAAATACCTGGGTCAGGATTACGAAACCCTGAAGCAGGAATGTTTGGAGAGTGGCAGATTGTTTGAAGATCCCCAGTTTCCTGCCATCCCTTCTGTCCTTGGCTTCAAGGAACTGGGGCCAAATTCTGGCAAGACCCAAGGAGTGCGCTGGAAGCGCCCATCAGTGAGTACCTGCTAAGAGAAAGCTTCATGAAATGCCCAGACTTGGCATTCTGCATTATAATAATTCACATTAGCAGCTTTCATGAAAAGCTTCTTCACTCATTGATTCTATGCTAGCATTTTTGTGCTTGTTTTCTGCACCCAAGGCTATACTAATTATTTCAATGGCCCTATTCCATCTTCTTATTAGTCCCTCTTTCCCATTTAAACCTCTTGCTTTGCACTCTAATACATTATGAATGTGAACTCCTGCCAAATTGCAAATGATGTTACACTTGCAAAGGGTTTTCTTGTCTGCAGAATGGGAGAGATGCCTGGCAGTGTCTGCTCTTGAACTTTCATTTCAGCAGAGCCAACCTTAAGAAATGGGGCTACAAAGTGGAGTTCATGGCATGCGAGTGTGGAGAAGAGCAAACCACAGACCACCTATTTTAATGCAGTCTGAGCCCTGCCACATGCACAATGGAGGACCTTCTTATAACAACACCAGAGGCACTCTAGGGGCCAGCTACTGGACAAAGGACATTTAGCATAATGCCAATTTTTAAAACTTTGTTTTTTAAAAACATTACAACTGTACCCTCAGTTCACTTCTGATATCATAAATAAATAAGCACTGTATGGATCCCTACTGACCTCTTTATATTAAATACCGTATATACTCGAGTATAAGCCGAGGTTTTTTGCCTCCTTTTAAGGCTGAAAAAGTCCCTCTCATCTTCTACTCGAGAGAGGGTTATGGCAGGAAGGCGTGGGGCTGAAAGAAGCCCTTCTTCAAGTTCCACACCTTCCTGCCAGGACCCTCACCTGTCGTCTTTGTCTGCAAGAGCCTGTTGAAGGTGAACAAGCTCTTGTAGACGAAGCTCTGCATGGGCTTCCTCTCACTGCGGCTTCACTTCAGGAAAAGGCTGTAGCCGAAGTCATCCTCCTATTTGCTGGACCCAGAGCAGGCAGCTATAAGAGGGAGTGGGTTTGCACGGCGAGTTATATGTTTACCTTTTTTTTTAGTTTGTAGAACAACAATGATCTGCATAGTTTTTTCAGGTCAGTTTTCATCTTGTTTGAAGAAATTGGAAGCTAAGACAATAACAACGAATTATGTACCGGTGTAAATGATTCATAGAAATGGAGTGAGAAGTAAGGTCTAGGAGTCCTCTCGTGCAATCCCTTGCTTATGGAGGAACTGGAGACAATGTACTGGATGTTATTTCATGTCCTGACTCAAATCTGAATTTCCTGAGGGACACCCAGCCCTTTCTTTTGCCAACCAAAGATAAGAGACAATATCAAAGAAAAGCCAATATCATAGAAAAGCCAAGGAGTCATTTTTTAGGAAAAGGGGCATATTTTTAAAGTATTAATGATACAATATGCATTTAAACATATGCTATCTGCAGAACTTGTAAAGTTCATTTTTGCAACTATAACTCCAAGAAGTTCAGTGTGTCTCTTTTCAAGTTCTACCCATTTCATCATGTTGTCTGTTCAGCTTTTGTGGGAATGCTGAGGAAACCACTAACAAGTTTCTTTTTACTTTTCACTTCTACAGGAAATTGTGGATGACCCACAGTTTATTGTGGGAGGTGCCACAAGGACAGACATCTGCCAAGGAGCTCTGGGTGAGTAATGGGTATTCATTCTTTGGAGAAGTGACAGGATGAGGGAAAGAGTAGATTGGTTGATAAAATGGAGAGGTCAGAATTTGGATATTGAATAACTTTGTGGACAATCAGCCTTGAGTAGTCAGGAGTTGAAGCCATAAATTGATTTACTTTATCCAAATTTTGCTCTTCCAGCTGTTCCAAATTTTGCCATTGAAAACTAACTCAAGATAGAAAATAATACATAGGCTGCATAAGGCACCAACATTGTCAGGTTTTCAGATTAATGAGGAAAATGCTTTAGAATAGAAAGGCAATTGCTTCCTTTTTCCTCAGTGGTTAGGAATATTAGTGGGAGCTGTAGAAAATACAAAAGGGCTTCTCGTGGGAAAAGCAAATATTGTGTACAAAATTACCATCAGGCTGTTTATATAAGGTGTATCTATATGAAACATAAATGAATGTTATCTTTGCTCTTGGATTTCATCTCCAAGGCATCTCATTTGTATGTACAAGTACAAATATTTCAACATTAAACATGTCCAAAGCACATCTGATCCTAAGCATTTTGGAAAATAGATACGCATCCTTCACCTTTATAACAGTAATATAAGACATATATCCTAATCCCAGTTTATAACCTCAGCCCTTGAGGTTGTGGGTTATTCTCATTGCAGTCAGAAAGTATCCCACTCTTCACTCAGTGAATGTTTCACTGAGTTTCAGTTCATTATGCAATTAAACTGTGCATGTGGTTATTTTCACTCGCCAGAGAACAAGGCATCAATGTTTAAGCTGAGCATGCATTCCTATTTCAGACAGAATCAAATTGAGGCAGCATTTTTAAAATGTTGCCTTTGGCTTGTGTACAAAAAAGCATGCTTTCAAACAGAAATCAAATCGAAAAGAATTATATAATTAAAATTGGCTAATTTGAAGATGGGCACAATGCCAACATTAGGCATGTCTAATGTGAAATTCTTGTAACTTGTTAAAAGAAGCACCGAGTAAGATGTTTTCATTTTATGGAAATAATAGTTTCGGTTGAGAAATCGTCCTTCATTGTTTAGGTATCATAATAAAGGAGAGACTATTACTGTTTTTTATTAATTCTGAAGGTTTCACCAGAGAAACAGCATTGATACATTTGCACAAGGCCTTCAGTTTCCTCTCCCAGAATACTCCAGCCAGCATGGCTAGTGGCTTGGGGAGTTGTAGTTCAAAAGTAACCACAATTTTGACACAAAGGTGCATCAAAGCAAAAAAATAATATTTTGAGTAGCCTGAGAAGGGAAGGTATTTCCCCATTTTTGTGGGGTTCCTGAGCATCAAATTCCTATGGAAGTAGATAATCTACTGTACTGATATTGAATACATGGATCAAATGTAAGGATATTGGAACCCAAATATTCTAGGAACTGTCATTCTGTTTTCCTGCTCTTCAGGTGATTGCTGGTTACTGGCTGCCATTGGCTCCCTGACTCTCAATGAGGACCTTCTGCACCGAGTTGTGCCTCATGGCCAGAGCTTCCAGGAGGACTATGCAGGCATCTTCCACTTCCAGGTGAGATCAAGGAAAAGGTTACTCACACTTCCCCTAGAAAGTGCTTCATTGTCCTTTCTCAAAAATGGAATAAAATTGAGCTGTAAAAAATGTACAGCCATGGACAAAGGGTGTTTTTACCAATGAACAAGGATGTTGCTTAGCATATGGTTTCCCTGTCAACACCTAGCATCTATTTTACTTTTATCCCATCACAATCAACAATTTTTGGCCCAAACTCATTGTTCTCCCGTTATCTCCCCAGATCTGGCAGTTTGGTGAATGGATGGATGTGGTAATAGATGACCGCCTGCCCACCAAAGATGGAGAGCTGGTATTTGTGCATTCAGCAGAATGTCAGGAGTTCTGGAGTGCTCTGCTGGAAAAGGCATACGCTAAGTGAGTACTATGTTGGTCTATATTATGCAGGGTACTTGAGAGTGTAGTGGCTTCCCCTCCTTGATGTACCTTTCCCGGAGCTCCCGGTGGCACAGTGGGTTAAACCCCTGTGCCGGCAGGACTGAAGACCAACAAGTCACAGGTTCGAATCCGGGGAGAGTGCGGATGAGCTCTCTCTATCAACTGCAGCTCCTCATGCAAGGACATGAGAGAAGCCTCCCACAAGGATGGTAACACATTAAAACATCTGGGCGTCCGCTGGACAATGTCCTTGCAGACGGCCAATTCTCTCACACCAGAAGTGACTAGCAGTTTCTTGAGTTACTCCTGACACGACAAAAAAAAGTACCTTTCCCAGGAAGCTCTGTCCATTCTTGAAGCCCACTTCTTTTTAAAAACAAACACCCCACACTGCTACTTTTTTTTAGAGGTCAGGAGGTGTGGTTATACTATCTGCTTTAGAACTTGGGAATTACTTTTTCCTGTGCAACTACAAGACACTCTACCAGCATGGTCATCAGCCAGCTTTTTTGAGTTGGGTAGTTCAAAAAATAACCTTTTCAGACTGTGATCCAGCTAATTGTCTACATTCTGTTTGGCATATAGGTTGAATGGCTCTTATGAGGCCCTGTCAGGTGGCAGCACCACAGAAGGCTTTGAGGATTTCACAGGAGGCGTGGCAGAAATGTATGATCTCAAGAAGCCACCCCGTAACATTGCCAAGATCATTTGCAAGGCTCTTGAAAGGGGTTCCCTCCTTGGCTGTTCCATTGATGTAAGTGCCTCAGGCGGGTGTTATTTGTGAAATGCTTCAGATTTGCAATTTTGGAGGGAACAGATGTTATGGGACCTGCCATAAATAATAGTGGCTTTAATTGGTTAGATTGATCAAGGTAGAACAGCAGAAAGGGCCCAAAGATTAACTGAAAACTGTAGAATGGGACACAGAATGTTAAGCTACAGGCTTCTTTTCCACATATTAGGCTGTACAAACAGAGTTTTGGCTGGTGCCCCCTTGTGGTGGATAGGTGCACTGAAAACAGCTCTTCAGCAAATAGCATTCAGACTTTTGTTTTTCTTTGAATTTTTCATTGTGTTCTTCAAAAGTACAGCTTTACTGCATACAAGGAGCCAGTCAGGGGCTGGTCTGACATACACAGTTCCATGTTCGATTATTTGACCCTTGCAAATCTTTCATCAATTTCCCCATATATTTATTATTTATTTATTTACCACGCTTGTACCCCACCCTTCTAATCCCAAAGAGGACTCTGTGAGGCCTTACAAAGGCAACAATTCGATGTTATATATACATATCGATAAAATAAACAAATGCATTAAAATCCAAACCAATTAAAACATAAAAATCAATTAAAACCACACAATCCAAGGTAATATTCCATTTATATTTTTTTGAAAGGAATGAATAAAGATCATATTAGGAATTCCACCCAAAGGAATTTCAGTCTTTGCAGGAGAAACTCATCAGTTCTAATTTTAAAGGGGGAATCCGTCAAATAAAAGCTTACCCACGTTTTGCCTTTGTTTCCTTTAAGAAGCAGAAACTGGAATTCTTCCATTGGATTCCACAGAAGAAACAGGACTTCAATCTCAAGATGCTAAAAAAAAATCAATTGTTTAATTAGTAGAAAAGTCAAATACATTTTGACCTAGGTTGTTGTAGGGTTTTTTTTGTTTTGTTTTGTTTTGTTTTGTTTTTTGTTTTGTTTTGGGTTTTTTTGGCTATATGGCCATGTTCTGGAAACATTCTCTCCTGATGTTTCACCTGCATCTATGGCAGGCATCCTCAGACCTCGCAACCTCTGAGGATTCCTGCCATAGATGCAGTCAAAATGTCAGGAAAAAATGCTTCTAGAACATGGCCATGTAGCCCAAAAAAACCTACTACAGCCCAGTGATTCTGGCCATGAAAGCCTTCGACAATATATTTTGGCCTATGTGTTTAATCTTAAGGTCTTCTTCATTGTGTTATATAAAATCATAAAAGAACAACACATAAATACATAATGCTAATAAAACTATATTTCTTTGCCTATAGACTAAAATACCTCTCCAACTGTTTACTAGAGATTTGTCTTTTTATGACTTTTTATAGCCCCCTGAAAAAGGCCTTACTCACAGACCAGAATGCATCAGGAGTTTCTGCTAGTGAAAGAAAAATCTGTTTTTTCCTCCTCCAGTTCATTTTGGAAAAACTAGAAAGGCAGTATGGAGCAAGCAAGGAAAATGAATGAGGGCCACATCACAAATACATTATGATGGGATGGGTCAGAGCTACCCTTCTATGTATTCTGTGTATTCCCAAGTATTGTAAATACTAAAGTTGGTGCACAGTTTACACGGTTTAGAGATTTTAAATTCCTAATCATATGTTGTGTTTGGTGTGCATTTCATCTGTTGGTGATATCTTGTATTCCTCTGAAATCTAAGAAGCATGAAAGGGGAGCATTTCTATGGGAAGCCTATTGACCAAAGCCACCTTCCCTTTCTTAACAGATCACCAGTGCATTTGATATGGAAGCAGTCACTTTCAAGAAACTAGTGAAGGGCCATGCCTATTCTGTCACAGGATTTAAGAATGTGAGTTTCTCATCATAAGGTGGTAAGCTATTCATGGGGTTAGCCAGGTTTGCAGGTTGCCTAATATTCCAACTTTGGCAGGTGGACTATCGTGGCCAACAAGAATCACTCATCCGGATAAGGAATCCCTGGGGTCAGGTGGAGTGGACTGGAGCTTGGAGTGACAAGTGAGTGTGACAAGGCCAAGACACCAAAGCCACTGCAGTGGTTCTGGAGGGGGCTGATTTGTGACATCTCAGAATGGCCCTAGTATGTAGGGCACATAAAAATTATCCACAAATGCATCATTATAATTTGGTATAAATGAACCATTGTAGAAAGAAATGGCAGCATCATTTCAAATGCAAGTACTTTTTCATTGAATAAGTTCATCTTTGTAACTCTGAGACAATGAAGGCAAAATCAAGTAAGGAAACTTACACTGGATCAATCCAGTTTAGTTTATCTACAGTGACTAGCAGTGTCTCTTTAGGGTTTCAGATGGATCTTTTAAATTCTCTTTGGAAATACTAGGAACTGAACCGAGGGCATATTTGAATGAAAAGCTGGTGCTCTACCACTGAGTTGTTGCTCTTTGAATCAGACTTTTGTTGCTCCCTAGAAATAATAATATTAGATCATTTTAGAAGGGGAAAAAAGATTGCATAACAGTCTTTTTGTTGACATCTTAGCTCTTCTGAATGGAATGAAGTGGACCCTGATCAGAGGGAAGAATTGCACCAAAAAATGGAAGATGGTGAATTCTGGTAAGTTTCTAAATTCATGACACAGTTTATTGTTGATATGTTGGTTCTCATGTCTGTGTCAGTAGATTAAAAATATTTGTTGCCAGTGGGGTGCTCTGTAAGACATTATTATCATCACTACCACTACTACTACTACTACTACTACTACTACTACTACTACTACTTATATACCATGTTTTCTCTTAGAGAGACTCAAGGCAGTGTGCAGTGGTATAAATAATACAATATAGAATTTTAAAACATAAGGCTATAAATATTAAAATAGAATCCACCCTAGAAGTATCTAAGATTCAATAATTAAAGCAGTTAAAAGCAATTTAAAATACATTAACGCCACACAACACCTTAACTGTGTCTTTAAAACTTTCTTTTTTAAAATCCTGTCTGAATAAAAAGATATTGGCTTCCCTGGGCAGAGAATTTCAGTGTCGAGGAGCAACCACTAAGAAGACCATCTCTTGCATTCCCACTAACCAAGCTTGGGAGGGAGGTGCGACTGAGAGAAAAGGCCTCTCCTGAGGCTGTCAGGGCCTGAGCAGGTTCATACTGGGAGATGCGATTTGTCAAGTAGTGTGAACCTGAATCAAATAATAATAATGATAATGGTAATGATAATGATAATAATAGTTTTATTTCTTGCTCTCCTCTCCTCATGGCTTGAGGCGGGTTACAGCATTACTAAAACATAAACGAACACATAATCATTTCAAAACACTCCTTAAAATATATATGTTAAAATACACAAAACAAAAATTAGGCATACAGTGGAGTTTAAAATTCACCATTAAAACTGTCAGAGCAGGCCTGCCAGAAGAGATAGGTCCTCACTTGTATCTTCTAAGTTCTATTGGCAGTTAGTCAATGTCCATTTTGTTTTATTTTTCCAACCCCTCACTAAAACAATTTGTTCACACGCTATTAATTTGTCAACCAATTTTTCCTTTTGTGTATTTTTCATTCCTGTTATCCATGCATGTAGTACATTTCTATTAACTATTACTATTTGTAAATTTAACATTCTATTGATTTCGCCTTCAATCATTATCCAGTATTCTTGTACTCAATCACACTCCCATATCATATGATTCAACACCCCTCTTTGTTCACAACTATGCCAACACCTGTCCTTTATCTGTCCTTTATCTCTGGTATTGACTAACTGGTATAATTTTATAGTTAATTTGTTACATGTGGAAATAGTGGTATCTTCTCTTTTTACGGACAACCATTTCTGTTCTGTTCTAATGTTTCTTTCTGTTCTTGTCTGTTCTTGCTAACCTCACTGCCACTTCTATGTGGTCTCACCATCGCTTTTGTCCCTGCAGGATGTCTTTTCGAGAATTTTTGCGTCAGTTTTCCAGGCTGGAAATCTGTAACCTTACCCCAGATACTCTGGACAAGGATGGGTTAAGCAGATGGCACACCACTCTCTTTGAGGGAACCTGGCGCCGTGGCAGCACAGCTGGAGGCTGCAGGAACCATCCAGGTGACACTTGGTTTTCTATTATTTCTCTTTTGTTGAGAAACAACAACAATAATAATTTTGTTTCTTACACAAAGTCTGGGTGACTCCGACATCAATTCAGTGAGTTTGGTCAGGAAGTCTGTTAGGCAGCAGGGTGGATGGTACACTAACAGAGAATCCCTAGTCTGTCCCTGGTTTTCAGATTCAGGTACACACATGCAATGTGATTCAGCTTCCTAGTAGGTAGTCTGGTCAGGTTAAGATGGTCTCTATAGACGACTGCTACCCACCGCCCCAACCCACCCTCATCCACTTTCTCTCACCTGCTCATTGATGCAGTACCCAACTGGGAGGGCCTGGGCTCAGATTGGAGCACTATCATCTCCCAGCCAAGTTTCAGTTAAGCATGCCAGGTCAGCCCTTCATCCTTAAGGCGATCATAGATTATGTGTGTCTTGTTCTTGACTAACGTGGCATTACTTAAGAGCAAGATGAGATTTTGTGGGTGGTCTGGCTCAGTCTACAAATTCCTCAGGCTGGCAGGGTGACTGGTAGGTGGGACAGGTATTAAACACCTTTCTCCCCTTCCTCTATGAGGACATGTGGCTCTGCCATCGTCATATCTCCCTCTGCCCTGCACAACTTGTATTGCTATCCCATTTTCAGTATATACTGAATTAAAAACAAATAATACAGGGGGAAAGACACATACAAAAAATAAAAACACAGAAGACAAATTATGAGACATTAAGGCAACATTTAACATGTAAAGAGCCATGCTCTTCTCTTGCTCCCACCCCCATCTCAGGCACAGTTGGTGGGAATGAGAGAGGGGGCCTTCTTGTTGGTGGCCCCCGGCTTTGGAACTCCCTCCCCAGGATTTCCCTTCCGCAAGGATTTAAAGACATGGTTGTTCTGTTGTGCCTTTGACTAGACAACCCCCCAGATAGCTTGGCCCCAACTAGGACCCAAAATCTTGCCCATGCACTTTACTATAGTTCTGTACTTAAATTTATAGTGCTTTATTCTCATATTGCCCTCCTATCTCCACTGCTTCCATATGATCTATGCACTTTATCCATCGGCCCTATCCTCACAATTGTTTTTGCACCAGTCCACCCAACCATTCCCAGAAACTGATTGTTATGGCAGGGCTCATTGGTTGTTAGTTGATGTTTGCTTTTATATTTTGTTTTAATTTTGTTTATGTTGCCATTATATATTTAATGTGCTATATTTTAATTATGCTGTTTGGGCTCATCCCCATGTAGGTCGCCCCTAGTCCCTTCGGGTAGATTGGAACAAAAATAAAGTCATTTTTAAAATAGTTATTATTATTATTATTATTATTATTATTATTATTATTATTATTATTTTACAGACACAAAAACACAGTATGACACAGCAAATGAGATATATATTCTGGATTTCAGATCACAAAATCACAAGTTGAACACTTCCCAAGCGTTTAGGACTGTGTGGTGTATTTTCGAATGATGTGCACACATCCAAGTAAGGTGGCCTTTTGCAGTTGACAGAGTGTGATTTCGTCAATGTTTATTGTTGTCAAATGCCAGCTGAGATCTTTTGGCACGGCACTCAGTGTGCTGATTTCCACTGGGACCACCTGTACTGGTTTGTGCCAGAGCCTTTGCAGCTCGATTATTATTATTATTATTATTATTATTATTATTATTATTATTATTATTATTATTATCCTGGTACAGCTAGCTTTAGGCAGAAGTTCTTGTAGTTCAGAAGGTAGGCAGCAGGAATGCTGGTGTAGAAGCTCTTACCTTCTGAACTGTTTCTGCCACTGAGCCCAACAGGCTCTTAAAGGCTCCAGTGACCCACCCCCAAGTGAGAGCCACAGTAGCTGCACGGAGCCACACCCAGTTTGTAAGTAAGGCTAGCTCGGCAGAAGTTCTTGTAGTCCTGAAGGCAGGCGGCAGGAATGCTGGTGTAGTAGCTCTTAATTCTGAACTATTTTCTAAAGTGGCTTCTCTCCTGACAGCTCAGCACTGTGGAGACCCCACACTACTGTTCATTTCTAGTCATGCAATGATTTATTTGTGCTATTTGTTACCTGCCTTTCTCTCAGTACAGAACTCATGAGAGTTATTATAGCATTGCATAACTGTAGTTCTCCCTCTCTTCTTGCAGCAACATTCTGGATTAATCCACAGTTCAAAATCAAGCTCCTAGAAGAGGATGATGACCCAGAGGATGATGAGGTGGCTTGCACTTTCTTAGTTGCCTTGATGCAAAAAAATCGTCGAAAAGCTCGCCGAATTGGAGAAGATATGCATACCATTGGCTTTGCTGTCTATGAGGTAAACCCTGCAAGGTTATCTGGTGTGATTTTTCACTAGCAAAGTTTAGTAGAAGCTAATTTCTAATCCCTTCTCTCTTTTTTTTCTCCCCTCCCCTGATCTTTCTGTAGGTTCCTGAGGAGGTATGTCCTGAGCAAGGAAAGCATTATTGAAATGTGACAATGAAGACCTCAAAGTCAACTGAAATGAATTGATCAAAGGATTTATTATCTTTTCTAATAACTCTTCACAAAATTGGTGGGGGGGGGCACTTACCATTAATACGACAAATAGTCACAGTGTTTGCACAGCTTCTTAGACTATATGATTGACCAAGATAGTCAAAGTTATATGCAAACTCACTGGGGGGGGGGGGGGAATGTCAGCTCTGCAGTGAATGCATCATCTTTTAGAGTAGAAGATGCAACATAAGGAAATGGTTCAACATATCAGTGACAGATAGATTTTTCTTTTGTTATGATGCCTTCTTAACTTTGTGTCAATCACAAAGGGTTTTGGTTCACAAGACGTTCCCTCCATCTGTATGGTTTTATCTCTGGGCTTTTTTTTGTTGTGTCTGTACCTATTCATGGAAGGTTTTGGCTCTTTGTCATCTAAAGAGAGGGGCAAACTACAGGAAGCCCCTGGATTATGAACACAATAAGTTTTGTTGTTAAATTGAATTTTTATGTCAATCGGAACAGGTACAAGTGTAACTCCAGATATATAAATTGTGTATTTTGTATAGCATAGAGAAAGCTTAACACCCCTGTTATGTTTGTTTTGCTGTTTGTGCCTCTGTTCAGAAGATTTCACTTCACTTTCTGTCCCTGTGACAATTGGATTTTAACATTTTTGGGTTATCATGGAAACAAGGTTTACTAACAAAGTGGAGAAACATTTTTTCCATGATAACTCTTACAGAAGTGAATTCACTTCCTAGAGATAGATTGTCTTATCCGTTTGTAACTAGGAGTCGGATATAAGTTGGATGTTTATAACACAGGGATTGCATGTATTTGCTTAGCTATACACAGTTGCTTCTCTCCTAGGCACAGGGCTGCCAAAATGTCCACCTGAAAAAGGATTTCTTTCTGAGAAACCAGTCTCAGGCTCGCTCAGAAACCTTTATCAACCTGCGGGAGGTGAGCAACCACATCCGCCTGCCCCCTGGTGAATACGTCATTGTGCCCTCCACCTTCGAGCCCAACAAGGAAGCAGACTTTGTCTTGCGTGTCTTCACAGAAAAGCAGTCTGATACAGAGTGAGTCCATGCACTGCTTGAGTTGATGTAGTATTTATTATTGTTTGTAAGGTGCTGATGAACATCCCTTAAGCCTCCTCCACAGAGATTTCCTGGTGCATCTGTCCTCTAGCTTCAACAGTCTTGTAGTGGCAAAGTTTGTTCGAAGGTGTGGAAAACTCATTTGGATTGTAGGTGTGAGCAAAAGATTCAAAATCAGTTTGGGACAGACCTAACTGCACCATTCAGTGCCATGATTATTTAGTGATATATTTAACTACCTGAGTGAATAACACATCTCTGTATGTGGCAGTGGGGCAAAGAAACAAATTACGTGAAACATGTAAAACCAACATTTTAATCTTAATATAAGACACTTACCTACAACAGCTAACAAAACTAGATCACACAATGTACATGCAAAAGCAAAAGTAACGAACAAATATAGAAGCCAATCTATTAGCCTAGTCTTTAGACCTCTCACTATCTCCCTGGTTTTTGGTTCTGATTTGACCTCTCCTTTAAGAAAGATTGTATAACCGCACGTCTATATGACAACACGACTAGCTCATAAATCCCACAATTAGTCAGTCCCCAATTTTATATTAATAAAGCCCCAATCTCTTGAAGTTAGGTGGATATTTCTCTTCTGTCAGCCTAATCAGTTTGTCAATCTTAATTACTTCACAAATCTTGAATAGCCATTGTCATAGACTTTTCTTTTCCACTATGTTGTATATTCAGAAACACTCCATATGAGAATTCCTCAACTTACCTTTTAGGCATACTTATTAGAGACCCATTTCACAGCCTTCTTTCTATTTCAGGGAACTTGATGAGGAGATCTCTGCAGATCTTCCAGATGAGGTAAGGACTTCGTCCAGGATATGTGTTATTAAAATGTTACTCTTCCCTCCCCACCCTTTGACTTCTTTGTAGTGTACTTTTGATGACTACAGTATACTATAGGTACTTTGAAAGAAGCATATCAGTATTGCTCTTCACAATGGGCTTATTTACTTCTGAAGAGCTACTGTATTTTTATTAAGTAGACCTTGCTGGTCAAAACAGTTTGGGGTGAAAGCTGAAAAAGAAAGCCAAATTGAAGGGAAGAGAAAAAGGGAAAAGGTGCTCTGTATGCACCTTTAAGTTCATTGGAGAAGAATGTGGAGGTACAGGCAGTCCGCAAGTTACGAACAAGATAGGTTCTGTAGGTTTGTTCTTAAGTTAAAGTTGTATGTAAGTCAGAAAAGGTACATTTTTAAGTGTAACTCCAGCCAGCGTTGGATAGCATAGGGAGAAGGGCTAATTCCCTTGTGGTGTTTGTTTTGCTGTGTGTGCCCATATTCAGAATATTTCACCTCACTTTCTGTGCTTGTAATAATTGGATTTTGGAAAATTTGGTTTGTTGTCGATTGGTGATAAAGCTTCAGTGGAGACACCTTTTTGCCATGATAACTCTTTCAAGAGTGAATTTCCCTTTTGAGGAATATATTTCTCTCACTTCCTGTTTTCTCACCCCCTTTCTTAACACTAAATCATTTGTAAGTCGAATGTTTGTAATTTGGGGCCAGTCTGTATAGATAGTATAGCTATAGGCTGCTCTCAGTTTAAACCTGAAATTCTAGAATGATTACAAAGAATGTTGGTTGATCATCTCCTCCTAAATTTTATTTTCTCAGGAAGAAATCTCTGAGGATGATGTAGATGAGAACTTCAAAAACATGTTCCGTCAGCTTGCAGGAGAGGTGTGTGCTGAGATGTGACTTTTCATGAATTTCTCCCATGCCAATTTTTCTATGCACAGAACCGTCAAGATCTATAGTGAATATGAATATGCAAAATATCAGAGACACTAACTGGTAATGCAGAAGTGATTATCATTGTCATTTGGAGGGTGTTTGTTATCGTGGATATAGTGCTTGGATTTAACAGACTGATTTGAGAAGCATTCTCTAAGGTTACTTTCTTTCAAACCTCAACTATTGTTGTTGCTGCTGCTAACTTTATTTACTCGTATATCCTCCATTCCCCCACCCACCCAAGGTTAGGCTTTAAGACAGCATATACATTAAAAAGATTACGATTAAAATCATGCAAAAAAATGAACATTAAACTGAATTAAGTTACTAACCAAATTAAAACTGTGCATTCTAAAAAGATTTTAAAAGTTACCCAATACAATATAAAACAATACCTCATTTATAGTCCATGTCTTCAACTATCAGTGCTAGGAAAGTTAGGAAGGGTTATTTTAGCCTCCCTCTGCCTTATATTATTGTAAGGGTAGAGTTTTGGAGATTTTACACCTGAAATTGGTTTGCAGACCTAGTTTAGGGTCCAAGATCCCCCTCCCCAATAATTTGCAGTGAGTTCTTACAGTGTCCCCATCCTGCCACCATAGTTAGACAGAATCAGAACTGTACAGATTCCTTTAAAAACAAATGAAATGTGTCATTTGAGAAAAGAATCAGGTTTCCAAAATTCTGCACTTCCTCTTTTAAAACAAGCTCCTTGTACACCATATTTTCAGTTGAAATCGCTGTTTTGCTTTTGGCCACCACCACTCAATTGTAAGATAACAGCCCAAATTGTATTTTTGAATCTAGGACACACCCTAGTTATTTGAGCCCAGCATGATGCCTGGACATCTCCCTGTTTCTTTTTCTCTCTGTGTTGCTTGGTGTCATTGGAATGCAGGCAGCTGCACAGAAAGAAGGGGGAAGAGAAAAGCTGGAAGGCCCAGACTTCTTGACCTGGTTTCACTCTTTGGAGATGGAAGGCGGGTGGGAAAAGCCTCTGTGCCTAAGCCCAGGATTTCCCCTCACCCCTCCCCACTTCCAGAGGCAGACAGAGACAGAGAGCTGCCCAGGACACCTAGCTTCCCTCCCAAACCTCTTTAAAAAGAAACCCTGTGATTCAAGGATGCCATCAATTCCAAAATGCACCACTTTTTTGGAGCCAAAATATACATATAGTATATTGAAGCACCTTATCATTTATGATCTTGTGACATCTCAAAGATGGTGAATTAGACTACAGCTTTCTGGTTGGTGGTTTTCTAGTCAGATAGTAGCTTATTTCCACTGAACCGATGATGTTCCTTAAGATTATTCAGAACTGTCCTTTAACACAGTGTTTATTCATGGACTTGTTCTACTTCCTAAAATAGTCCCAAAAGAAATTCCAGGAAGAAATAAACAAGTGGCAGTGGGAGATGCTCGTCAGTCTTGTTATATATGTGTTTCAACACACATTCCTTCGTTTAACACAAGTCCTTGCCTGAGGACTTTTTGCTAGAACCTAGAAAATGTAGGAGATGGAGGAGGGATTTGCAAGCCTCCAAACTCCCAGCTCAATGTGAACATTGTCCTCATGTGGAACTACTGAACAGCTTTTGGAGGAGGTGAGATTCTGAACAAATAAAAACATTCAGAAATGGCTAATGCTCTGCTCCTTCTTCCTCCAGGACATGGAAATCAGTGTCTTTGAACTCAGAACTGTCCTGAACAGAGTCATTGCAAGGCGTAAGTGCTTCTTATTTAGGCCTCTGGCCCATAGTATGTGGGGAGTATAACTTCTGCTTCTTCCTAATGATTCACATACCTTAAACATATATTATTTTGAAAACAGCTTCATAATTGTCATTGTTCCTCACTTTGACAGACAAGGATCTGAAGACAGATGGGTTCAGCATGGATTCTTGCCGCAACATGGTCAACCTGATGGATGTATCCTCTCTTGTCAATAGGTTCAGGGGGGTCTATCCTTAAGCTGAAATGTAGTGTGACTTTTTATTTTGCATTTGCTTGTATTATATTAAGCAGAGTGGGAACTCTATGAGGCAGTCACTAAGTTCTAGAACAGTATTATCTTGCAAATATGTATAGCTTTTCTCAGCCCCCAAACTTGTTAGAAACAGATCAAAAGTTCAGATTGTTACAATACTGCAGAAATCAGTCTATACTGGAGACTGTGCATATTTATTGGCTCATGCCTCACAGTCTGAAAAATATTTTAAGCTATTGCATTTATGTTAATGCCTCTGGCCACATTTTTGACTGAATGCATGGAGGGGGGAGAGAGAGTCTATCCTGAAACCATTGCCATTTCCCAGAGTGTTTTATTCTTTCATCCTGACCATTTTTGGCAATGTTTCTTTTGGAACAGCATGTGACAGTGTAAATCAAGACCCAAGCAAAGTGGGCAGAGAATGGATTCAAAGAACAAGATTCAAAAGTGAGAGCAATTATGCTAATATGCTATCTTTTGCATATTTGTGATTTCTCTTTTCAAAGTAGCACTGCATCAGCACAAGTAGATCAAGATGAATGATTTGGCTATAGGGAGCTATGTGAGAGAGAAGAGACTAAATCCATGAATGGTTGTACTCCACCTCAAGCCAAAAGGAAAGGAGGATTATAAATAAAATAACATAATAGTAGTAGTAGTAATAACAATTAGTAGTAGTAAAACTAGTTGCCTGGTTATGCTCATGTAAGACATTTCAGAAAACTGTCAAGACATGGATAGCACTGTATTCAAGTAACTTTGTGACCAAACATCATTAAGAAGTCAGCACAATTCTTTATTTCATGTTTTTATATACTGCCAGCCTTCTGTATCGTCAGATTCTGCATGCATGAATTCAACTAGCCACACTTTATTTATTCTCCCCCCTCCCTTAAAAAAAATCCAAAAAGCCAAACCTTGTGTTTGCCTTTCTATATAAGGAACACTGTTTTACCACATCATTGTTTATAGCATGACTTGAGGATTCACAGATTTTAGTATCCAGGGAGTTTGGGGAGGGAAGCAGTTCTGGAATCACAGCCCAGAAGATACCAAACGGTCACTCTTTGGCACAGATGTGGGACAGTTGTATTTATTTATTATTTATTTATTTATTTACTACATTTATATCCCACCCTTCTCACCCCAAAAGGGAGGCTCAGAGTTATATTCCAGATGTTTTCACCATTCCAAGATGAAAAGCACACAAATGAAGCCATTATGCAACACACATTTATCCAAGTAGTGGGTCTAGAATGAAGGAGTGGGTGGGATTGACCATATAAACCGAATTACAACCAATACTTTTTTTCATCATTCAGTACTTTCAGCAGTTTTGGAAGTCCTGCCTATATCATCTGTTCCATCATATATTTTTTTCTCAGACTTTGTGATTGTAAGATTTATTCTGTTGAATTGTTCTCCTTGACTCTCCTGTTCTTCAGAAAGATGGCAGTGCTCGCCTGGGTCTTGTGGAGTTTCAGATCTTGTGGAACAAGATCAGGAGCTGGCTGGTAAGGAAGTGAAGGGGGCATGGGTCTGTGACACATTCAGCACAGTTCTTTGGAAAGAGAGAGCAAGACAGAGTACACAAAGGATAACAGTTGGGAAATGAATCTGATTGCCATCATTTTTTATTTTGTTATGACAGAATATATTTCGTCAGCATGATCTGGATAAATCAGGCACCATGAGCGCCTATGAGATGCGTCTGGCTTTGGAAACAGCTGGTAAGTTTTAGAAGGGAAAATAATAAACATGCTGGGGGCATTGAGGTGTTGGGAGTGCTTATAAACTGAAGTAGCTGATGCATTGACTTTACTGTGTACTTTGGATGTACATATATCTTGTGTAATGCCATTATTTTCTATTTCCCATTGAGGAGAGGGAGCATGGCCAGTTTAAGGTTAATATTATTTGAACCTAAAAAGGTGCAAGCAGTAATATCACCAGAATAGAGATAGAAAAATTCATCAGTTATGTTATCATTGCAACCCTTAGCCTATCAACATAGTCATCCTAATTCCATTATCAGGTTGTGATGCATTTTTGCCACTCATTCAAATCATTTTTTTTTCACATTTTAGGATTCAAGCTGGACAACAAGTTGCATCAAGTGGTGGTGGCCCGATATGCTGACGACTCATTGGGTGTGGATTTTGATAACTTTGTCTCCTGTTTAGTGAAGTTGGAGACCATGTTCAGTAAGTTTCTCTGTTGCTGAGTCTGAGCAGCCTTCTATAGGAGCTATTTGTGAGTCTCAACAGTATATAAGAATATAGCTTTAAGTCTGACATTGTTGTTGTATGCGTTCAAGTCAACCCCAGCCTTCAACAACACTGATCGTAACCTATTATTCAGAAGAAGTTTGTTACTGAGAGCATAACTTGCCCACAGTTACCCAGCAGGTTTCCAAGACTGAGCAGAAATTTCAGTCCTGATTTCCTAGCAGACTAGACCAACTGCACTGTACTGTCTTCCAAGCCTGATGTATGCATTCCTATATTTCTCTCAGACTTGAATACAGTTGGCACATGATACAGTGGGGGTTTGTGTGTGTATAAAATGGGTTTCATGAATAAGGTATAGATCAGTTTCATAAATCAATGATACCAAGTGGAATCACAAGATTTGGATCAAGATAAAAACAAAGGAATCAACTCACTCCTAGAAGACCTTTACAAATTATACTCCTTCCAAAAAAACAAAAAGTATGGCTCCCAAATACTATCTGAAGACCATAGAGGCTATTTTCACTATATTTTGTTTAGTAGGGCTAAGCCAAGAGCGTTTCATATTGTGTTTTAGGGAAAAGACCTTTCCTGAGCCTAAAATGCCTTCAAATCTCTATATGCCATTTGGGACTGAGAATCCCAGTAGCCCCAGCCAGCTTGTTCAATTGTCAGGAGTTCTTGGAGCTGAGGTCCAAAACATCTAGAGGCCAACAGTTATACAGCCGTGATCTAAAGGGCATTTGAGATCCATCAAACTAGGAGACTGAGGAGTGATAAAAATACATGTGGCTTTGTTTTTGTTTTTTGATTTTTTCAAAAGGAAGGAAAAAGTTGGTAGCAGCTCTAGCCCCTGCAGCCATTCCGTTCACTAGGAGTGGGACATGCTGTGGGCATTTATTGTCCTGAACTAAAAACTTAACTAGGTTTTGCACTTGTTATTCTAGAAAAATGAAGGGAATATAAGCAATTCTGTGTTCTGCGAGATTGTGTAGAAATTGGAGATATGCTCCAGGTTTTGAAGGAACAAATCTCTCTTTGAAAGCTCAAAGGAGGATTTCTCTTTCCAACACTGAAACAGAAGCCACACTGATTTTAAACCTATATGTTCCCAATGTGGCAAGAGGGAAATCTGTCAGGGTTGATAGTGTATATTGGAGACTGTGTAGTAAGAGTTTAAAGGAGGCTGAAATTTATATTATTATTAATATTATTATTAATATTATATTTATACCCCGCTTTTTCTCTCTACAACAGAGACTCAAAGTGGCTTTAAAAACCAGAAATTGAAAGCTTAAAACATACAAGCATTAAAATAGAATTAAATATTAATTGTATTACAAACAATCAGTTGAAATTTTTAAAACTGTTTAAAATGTATTCTGAGTATTATTTATTTATTTATTTGGGAGTACTGTTCTCATGTCAACCACTCATAATTAAGTTCAATTTAGTTCTTTACCGTTCAGCTTCTTGGCTGAGATTTTGGCATTGCTAAGTTTTGGAGGTGAGATAGGTGACTACCAAGTGTAAACCACTTCTCCCATGGTGGCAGTTGGTCCATGAAATTCCCTTCAGATGTATTTGCAAACCGGACTTCCGGTTGGTGGCCGAGCAATGGAGGTCATGCTCTGAGGCGCTCCGTTTGAAGCCGCCCAGAACAGCCGGGTTTATGCACAGTCAGGGTGCCGAAACCCTCCCTCGCTGATGGTCTGAGGTCGCGGGGGCAAAACCCTAAGGTGCCATCGGCCGACAGTGTCAAAGTGGCACCCCCCTCAAGGAGATGCCCAAAGGCGCCCGGCAACGAGACACATCTGGGTGGACGCAAGCCTAGGCGGGGAGTAATACCACTCCCCATGCTCCATTGGCCCACCAACACACAGAAAAGAGAAGAGACTCAACCAGGAAAAGGCTTTAAGCAGAAACAAAGCAAAACTTTTCCAGATCTACAGCCGGCTGGACTTTAATTGGACTTCAACAGCAAGTTGACAACAGCGAGGCAGAGACAGAGTTGGATATACAAAGGACTCCAAGGGAACCCATTAATAACGCAAGGTAACTCAAAGAAAGTGAAATAGGCGATCGAAGGGCGTCCGAAGGGAGGGGGAAAGGGGAAAGGAGAGCACCGAACATCCCGGGAATCAAACCTGACAAAGTGCCCCAGCTGGGTAGAGCGGTACCAGGAAAAGCTCCCTTCCGCAAATAGGGACTGCAGAACCAAAAAGCCCCTTGGCAACCAGCGGACGACCCCCAAAAGGGCCGCCTGAGGGACTGCCGGGGGCTGAAGGTATAGCGGGCTGAGGCAACTTTTTGGCAAAACTTGGCAAAGAAGAAACGGGAAGACAAACTGGAGAAGATCCCCCCCCTCTCCCTGTGTAAAGAGGGCTCAGCAGGGAGAACTGACCTTGAAGACGCGCTGGCTCGCAGCCAGGGAGGACATTCCCCTCTCTCCCTTATCGTCTCTTATTGCTCCTTATCGCGAAGGTCCCCAAAGCGTCCTTGGGACGGGAGAGCAGAAGGAAGGAGGGCGGAGCCGCATTTGAGCGCAGCACGCCCCAGGAAGACCACAGGAAGCCTGGAAATCCCCGCGAACTCATCGCGAGAATAAGAAGGACAGCGCGCGAGCTTAGAGAGACCGCGAGATCCCACGAGACCTAGCAAACAACGCGAGAAGACGAACAAACAGGACGAGAAACAGAGGGACAAAAACAGGAAGTGAGAATTAGTCCCATAGGTGCCTTAAAAAGAAGAAGGGAAAAGAAAAGAAAGGAGGAAGGAAGGGAGGAAGGAAGGAGAAAGAGAGAAAGAAGAGGCAAAAGAAGCAGAAGAAAGGAACATCAAGGCGAAAGAAGGTAAGGGAAAAAAAATAAACGCTCACTCCTAAACTAACCCCCGCCACACTAAGCATAATAAACATTGTACCTGGAGACACGGTCAAGGGAAAATCTTCTTCCTAGACTAAATAATAAGGATAAACAAAAGACATTGGAGATGATGCAAAGTGGCAAGGGAAAAAACCAACAACCACCCAAAGGCCAAACAAGGAGGGACTCCCTTGTGAAGTTGGACCCTCTGACAGAGGCCACAACTAAGAAGGACCCCCAGGCAGAAGAGAACGTGCTGTGTAACATCCTGGCAGAAATCAAAAAATTATCGGCCAAGCAGGATGAACAACACAAGGAATTACAAGGCGAAATACAAAGTATGAAAAAAGACGTAAAGGAAGAAATAGGCAAATTAAAAGAGGATGTGGATAAAATAAAGAAAGACAACTTAAGAATCATGAAGACTCAGGGGAATACTGAAAGCAAGATGAATAAAATGGAACTCCTATCACATAAGATACAGCTACAGACGGAACGGTTGGAGAATAGAGAACTGGAGTACCAGCTCAGAATCCGAAATTTAGAAGAATCAAAGAATGAAAATATTAAACAAGTCATGATTGAACTATTGGCGGAACTACTCGAAGTCAGTATTGAAACAATAGGACAGGACGTGGACAGGGTGTATAGGGTACCAACAAGCTACGCCAAAAAGCACAAGACACCTCGTGACGTGGTGATTAGTTTTTGCCGCAAGAGTACAAGAGACGAAATCTTAAAAGAGAGCGCTAAAAAATCAATACTCTATAAAGACCAAAGAATAATTATAATGAAGGAAGTTACCCAGCAGACCCTTGCGAGACGAAGAAAATTTCTTTTCCTAACTGAAGAACTAAAGAGGAAGAAAATAAAATTCAGGTGGGAGAAAACAGAAGGAGTCACGATCACCCTGAACGACACACGATATTGGCTCAAGACAGAAGAAGACGCGAGAACCTTCTATAATGATCACATCAGAGATAAAATAAGAGACCCAACCCAAAGGAAATTCCACAATAATACGGAAAAGGAAAACCCCAAGGAAAAAAAGACAGAACGGGAGACAAGAAGAGATCGGGAAGAAGATGAAGATGGGGAAAGAGGAATGTATAACTGGTTAAAGACTGCGCAGGATGAAAAAGAACAAGAACAGAAGAGATTAAGGGAGTTCTCCCCTGAAAATTATCAATTAGTCCTTTTACAAGAAATGATACAATGGGAAATGACCGAAAACAACCAGGAAAACAACCAGGAAAACAATCATGAATAAAAGCATAAAAATCTACTCAAATAACATCAACGGATTGAATTCCCCCACCAAACGGAAAAAAGTGTTTAACTTCCTCCACCAAAAGAACTTAGACCTCATTGCCATCCAAGAAACGCATGTGGCAGACAGACACACAAGACTCCTAAGACATGAAAAATTGGGTAAAGAATTTTTTGCATCATACAAAGAGAAGAAGAGAGGTGTGGTAATCTATGCAAAAGAATGGTTAAACCCCAAGCAAATCTTTAAAGATACGCAAGGAAGATACATAGGGATTTTAATTGAAATAAAGAGTCAAAAAAAATTATTTTGTAACATTTATTTTTTTTTTCTTTATTGATTTTTTTTATATATAAACAATTACATCATTCAAAAAAGAAAAAACAAACAAACAAAGGAATAAAAAGAACCGAGTTACACACTTACACTTGCATCCTGATACATATATACCTAAACAACTATCTCTCCTGTGCAGTACAGCTGGATCAGGGAAAGTGGGGAAGGGAATATGGGGAGCGGGATAAGGGGGGGAGGGAGGGGAGGGCTTAACACTGGGTAAGAAGTAACAACAAACATCACATTGGGGCCTTACACAAACTACGACTATCAACAAAACAATCAACAAAACATATTGACTTCCCAACATTCCACGGGGTCATGTAACTTGTAAGTCTATTTCATTTACTTATTTATTTTTCTGACCATCTTCCCGAACCTTAAAGCAGAACATTCTTCCTGTTTTTCAGATATTCCTTTAAGGGATGCCAGTTTATTTTCCTTTTCTTGCTGGTTTCGTACAGAATGTTTGCTAGAGTGTCCATTTCCATGTAATCCCCAAT